GGATGAAAGACCCAAGCTAACATGGGGTTAGCTCGTTAAACAACTATAATAAAGCCTCGTGCAGTTTGCATCAAGCTTTCGACTCCGCCTGGTGATTGGGGTGACTGCAGTCCTGGCCTGAGATCCTGGAGGCCTGAGCTTCTGGGGGTCTTACACTTCAAAGCCTGCACTGAGGTTGTCTAAGTGTTTAATACTTAAATTATGCATGCTTGTGCGCAGTGCCCTTGAGGGCTTAGCAGGCATTTTTTACTCTCTGCCTCCCCCTGCTGCTGAGAGGAGGGTATCAAGCATACTCAAGCTCATACCGTATATGTTGGCTCCAGGTTCCCTATTGGGGGAACATGTTGTTCATGTCAGCCTTACCTAACAGAGAAAACAGACTCCATGCTTTCTGCGAACCCCAAACCTCCCAAGACAGCCTCATTTCCTCACTTAACTTTCTCCTTCAAAACCCTCTTCTATCCAGTTTGTCCCACATTGTAAACCCTCCTGGTAATTTCTCTTCTTGAAGTTGCCAGCCTAAGTGGCATTGCAGACTCAACCTCTCCAAGCTTTCCTATGATCTTTCAACCTGCACCATTACCTCAGCCCAGTCTTCTCAGCCAAGGAATAAGGGCCTCAGCGCCACATGGGGCTAAGAAGCAGCCCAAGCTAGAGAGCAGCCATTTTGGAGGCTAATTTCTTTCCTGGTGCTGTCTTTTAACCAATTTCTGACTCAGATTTAGTTTCTCCTTGCCTTGGCCTCACTCAGTCTCAGTTACTCCATCTCAAAGGAAATGCACAAAGAAGGCTCCATGCGGGGTCTCCTGGCACCAAGACCACACAAGCTCTGAGCCCTGAGTGCCACTAAGAATTTGACACCCTTGCCAGGAGGCAGAGGCAGACAGATCTCTGTGAGTTCAAGACCAGCCTGGTCTACAAGAGCTAGTTCCAGGACAGTCTCCCAAAGCCTTTGAAACCCTGTCTTGAAAAACACAACAACAACAACAAAAAAAAAAAAAAAAGAATTTGACACCCAATTAAAAAAAAAAGACAAACATGATTTGAATAGCCAACATAGATTTGGTAAAGATGGAGAATTTGGTTTTCTGTTAATAAGAATCTTGGGCTTTGATGTCCTCTCAAATATTTTTCTGCAAGAGAAACCAAAACCTGGTGGGGATTTGGAAGTATAGGGAGAAAGAACCCTCCTATCTCAGCCATTGTGTCAACCCCACTCAACTGTTAGGCCTCATGGGTAGGCAGCCAGTGGCCTAGCCTTTTCACCAAGCCTGTTCATGTCCCTCCCCAGATCACATTTGCTGTAGCAACACCCCTCCCCTTCCCCCTCACCACTGCTGCTGGTCAGCCTCATCCTGCCCGTGTGCCAAGCTTATACATCTAGAGCCAAGAATATTAAGGAGATACTGGTCCAAAGGGGAAACTTTGGTTTCTTCTCCACAAAATTAATATTTTCAAGATCTCCTCCTCCTTCAAGGTAGTTTCTTGCCACATTTTCAAAATGGAAAGAATAGGATTTGCTCAGTATGTTTGTTGAAGGGACCATTTTTCCTGGTCCCTCCCCCCCCCACACAAACCTACAGAACTGCAGTGAAAAGGTGGAGCTAACAGGCCCCATCTTCCCAATTATTCTGACATTTAGTCCTCCTCCTTGCAGATTAGCAACCCTAGGCACCTGTCCAAATATACTGATGTCTAGTTCAGCTTGGCCTGGCACACGGTACCTGGTTCCTGGCCATGTCTACTTCCTTCTCAACAGGAATTAGCAAGCAACAAATTAAAAGGCAGTTTTGCTCTTGAAACGTCTCACAGGTGTTAGTTATGGAGTGAAGTAGAAAGGCTTTCCTCCCACAGTTACTTGGTTGCACCACTAGGGGACATCAAATGCTTATCCCACCCCACCCCACCCCCCCAAAAAAAAATTGGCTTCACACCCTTGCCTTGCTGTGGCCGTAGTAGTGTGTAGAGTGCTCAGAGCCTTTGCAAGACAGCAATTGCCTCTCACTTTTCAGAGTCAATCAATCTAGCCTGTTCACAACTTTCCTTGGGCAGCTGCTCCGTGCAAGGGAAAAGCTCAGAGGTCTCTTCCAGTTCCATGTCCTGGTTTCTGTCTCCTGAGCCAGTGGTACCAAGACCTTCCTTATCATCTTCTAATTTGTCCTGAAGATAGAACTTGCCAGTGAGACAGCACCATGGAGAGATTCCTGAGAAAAGGCACAGCCTTGGAGGGAGATCACAGCCCTGCTGCTGATGGAGGGAGCAGTCAGTGTCCTGCCTCCTGCATTGCAGAGCTCCTCCTCTGCTCTGCTTGCTTGCTGGCTTTGGGAAGCGCAGAGCCTCCTGTCTGGAAGAGCACAGATTAGCAGTCACATTTGCTGCCTAGCCAAGTCCAACATATTCCCTAACAAGCTGCAGCCTTCCTGTTGGGAACCCAGCTTTGTGAGAACCCCTTCCAATGCACAGGGCGTTGCTGACTGTAGGCTCTTGTTCCTGTTTCACACACAAGCAACTCAGTTCTTAAAGATACCTCCAATGGCTGAGAAGGGGAAAGGGACAAGATCTCCTGAGCTTATTGAGCGCATGGGGTAGGGGAGAGGGAGCTAGAAGAAAGAGAAGGGGAGAAGAGGAGGGGAGAGGAGGACATGAGAGAGCAGGAAGATTTAGTCAGGTGAAGAATAGAAGAGAGCAAGAAAGAGATTCCATAATAGAGGGAGCCTTTATAGGTTTAAAGAAAATTCTGGCACTAGTGAAATATCCAGAGATCTACAAGTTTGACCACTGCTAACAACCTAAGCAATAGTTGAGAGGCTACCTTAAATGCCCTTCTCCAATAATGAGATTGATGACTACCTTATATGCTATCCTAGAGCCTTCATCCAGTAGCTGATGGAAGCAGAAGCAGACACCCACAGCTAAACACTGAACTGAACTCTGGAATCCAGTTGCAGAGAGGGAGGAATGATGAACAAAGGGGTCAAGACCAGGCTGGTGAAAAGAAGCAGCTGACCTGAACAAGGGGGAGCTCATGGACCCCAGACTGATAGCTGGGAAACCAGCATAGGACTGTTCCAGATTCCCTGAATGAGGATGTCAGTTTGGAGGCCTGGGCAATCTATGGGGCCTCTGGTAGTGGATCAGTATTTATCTGTAATACATAAATGGAATTTATTGAGAGACCACTCCACATAGAGGGATACTCTGTCAGCCTAGACACATGGGAGAGTGTCTAGTCCCTGCTCCAAATGATATGACAAACTTTGTAGTTCCCTTGGAAGGCCTCAC